AAAGTTAGTGACATCTTTAGATTCACTAAGGTAAAGTTTACTTCCAAAAAGATGGTCGATGAGTGGATGTCAACAGACGAAATGGGGCATTGGCCAATGCAATTGAACTTTGCTGTTTGGGCGGCGACAAAAGGTTGTGGTGTAGCAACTGATATGTTTCATATTCCATTTTTGAGATTTCACGTGGCATTTACCATTCGCAGGATATTACATGAAATGGGGATTCCACTACCAAATGATAAAATATTTGGTAAGTTAAAAAACAGGTATGATAAGGTTGCATTTGAGAAGTTAAAGAATGAGTTTAACGTTAGTAGTAGAATCTTTCGGGATAGGAGAACCGATTACGATTGTATGGGGCAGGGGTTTTATGTTTGGGATGGTAAGGTAAAACGGGTGTCTAAGCATAATTTACCTTACTTTAAATTTCCAGGTCAAAAGAATTATGATGACAGAACGAATCTTTATTACATACTACAAAATAAAGACGATTGTTGGGCGCCATTCTTTGCCGCAAAGGGTATTGGTTTGAAGAACCTTGCTAGGATTAACCGCAGTATAGAAGCATTCGTCTACTGCATCCTGGGGGCGCAGGTAAATACCCGCAGCCCCATTGTTGGTGCCCAAGGTGCTTCACAGGAAACGCAACAAGAATTCCTAGCCCTGTTTGAGTCCGCAATAATAGAAAATGACATATCCAAGTCAGTTCAAAGGTATCGATTAGCGGTGCAGCAATCTAAAGTGCGGCTGGATTACGCCTTGAGTCCTGGTTGTTGGTTGATGCCTAGTAATTTGGTTATTAACACCCATTCCGTTGTGGGTTATAACAACAAACTGCAGCGAGCAACCAAAGACATGAAGTTTGGGGTGAATGACGTGAACTCTGACATGACCAAGGGCATTCCTCACTTCGTAGAGAAGCCAAAGAAGGAGCACGTAGAAAAGCCCGCACCAAAGAACGTAAAGAAGAAGGTCTTACCTGCGATACCTGAGGAATATGACCATAACTTACTAAAAGCCGGCTTAGCCGCCGCGGGCGTTGGTCTGAGTTATTATATATGGCGATGAACAACCCCTACGTAGCTGGAGTAGATTGTGTTTATACGACTTACACAGGCGAGAAAAAATACACCCAAGCATCTTGGGTTGATGTCACGGGCATGTCCGTGAATTTGAATTATTCAGGGAAGAAATTGATTCTTTGTAGTATTTGCATTGGTACGAGCAGCCATGCCAACGTCGGCTTTAGGTTCCAGGATGATAATGGCATACTACAGCCCATGCGCGTAAAAGATAATAACAGGGAACCTGCGCATTTCTCCGTAGAGCCCAACCCCGGCAGCCTTGAAAATCATTCCGTTTGGACTTTTCATATGGTCGCCGATTGCCATGGGAAGGTAAAGCTGCAAATGCGCGTAGACGATACTGGAAAGGTTACGGTAAATAGCATAGAGGATCAAAGAGATTATGTTTATAATCACAGACCATTAGCACGCTTACGGTGCTTAGCCTTTAAGATATATGAACAACCCACATGTAAAGGAAGATTCGTTTTTCTATCATTTAGAGGAGAAGGAGTACGTTGGTGATAGCTGGTATGATACCAACCTGCAGRTGAAGGTTGGAGGTCTTGGTATAATCATATGCACTATTAACATTAGTACGTGGAATAACTCTAACGTTGGGTTTAGAATTCTTGATGAAAATGACCGCCCACTACTGCCCTACAGGAAAAAAGATAATAAGAGGTATTTGACTCATTTTACGTTTGAGCCCGCGACCACGAGCGTGGAGAACCTAACACCGGTGACTTTTCACATAATAGCCAACTGTCAACACGCGAGGCTTCAATTTCGCCCAAGCGATCGTGCTGCWGCTCACCAAATGGGTACGGTTGGGATAAATACCACCTATTCGACAGCTGGTTCTCCGGTGGATGCTGCCTGGAACCATAAGACCATTTCTACTATGACTGCCATACCTTTAGTTCCGCATTATCAAGGCGGCGCGAATACTATCTTTACTTATCCCCAGTCGAG